TAAAAAGAAGTAAGGAACCGCAAAATAGCCTGCTTGGTGAATTTTATTTTATTTTAATCGAGAAGGATAGCTTGCTTGATGAAGTTCAACTCTCATTATTTTTGTTCTAATGGTTCAAGCAATGCTTCTATTCCATAGTCATAATTGAAGTAAGCTTCACCTATTATTTCGTGTACAATAATACGAGATCTAGTGCACCAATTCATTAGCATGCTTGGCCCCATATTCTTCTTGCAGAAATGTCTCTAAAAATGTGATTCTTAAAGACTTAAAATCCAAAATTCTTGTGACGCATTTCCACTTCAGCAGAAGTTTTTGCAGTAATATTGACATAATAATATGGTGGTGTTTGGTGGTGTTGGGTGACCATATAACAGTTCATAGAAGTAGAGTCAAGCAGTAAAGAGACAAGGAAAGTGAGAAAAGTTCAAGAAATGGAATTCATAACAAGATTAATGGAAACTCCAAAAGTCAATACTGCGTCGACTGCTATGTGCTAAAGAATGTTGTTAGTATTAGAACACTAACCAAGGAACTCATAACCACAATACAAGCACAACTACTTACTGGTTGTGGATATTTTCCTTTTTCTTTTGATAATGTACTTGCTGCTCGTGGATGAAATATAAGGGGTTCCAAAATATCTTTGGATTTGACATCTGTTATGGTCGTCATTCAACTGAAATCCGCTTCAGAACCATACGTGAAATTTTCATCTCATAAGGCTCCTCCATTATGTGCATAATGAGAATAATAAAGAGAATCAAAAAGACTCAATGACAGTGTTGTTAAAAGCGACCGCTTCCTCGCTTAAAGCGAGAAGCGATGCGAAGCGGACCATCTGACACTTCTCTGATCTGAAGTGTACCATCTAGCGCTTCTCTGATCCGAAGCGTATCAAGTATACTAAAGCGATCGCTTTCCCTGAAAAAGCGAGGAAGCGAACAAAGCGACAGAAGCGAGCACTTCTCTTTATAACTGGGCTGCCACTGTTAATTAATTAAAAAGGCTCTCTTTTTTAAAAGACCATCGAGCAGCAGCAACAGAGAACAACAGAGAGCGACCTAGGGTTCAAGTTTTCTACACTTTTCAACTTCAAGATCATCAAGTTTGGTCCCAGCTATGTGATTTCTTCTTCTTCTTCTTTCAGTGTTTCAGTGTCCAAATAGAGCGAAATACTGACGATTCTTTTTTTCCCTTTCGGATCTTTTTCTCATTCTCCTCTTCTTCTTCTTCATTTTCTTTCACTGTTTCAGTGATAAATTGCAACAAAATGCTGGCCATTTTTTCGTTTCAGTTATACTGCCATTCTTTTGGTACTTACTGCCATTTTTTTCATATCATGTATTCTTAGTTCTTATTGTCTTTTTATGTATTATTCAGTTGTTCTTTTAATGGTGGGGTTAGGGCAGCGGGAGGAGATTCGGAACACTTTCCGGTTATGATGGGGTTGCACCAGGGATCAGCTCTTAGTCCATTCCTATTTTTCCTTGGTGATGGACGCATTGACAAGACACATTCAAGGTAGGTGTCATGGTGTATGTTATTTGCTGATAATATAGTTTTAATTGGCGAAACGCGGAGTGGTGTTAACGAGAGGCTGGAGGTTTGGAGGAAGACCCTAGAGTTTAAGGGTTTCAAGTTGAGCAGGACCGAGACGGAATACATGGAGTGCAAGTTCAGCAACGGTACCAAGGAAGGGGATATGGAGGTGAGGCTTGATACGCAAGTTATCCCCAAGAGAGGCAGTTTCAAGTATCTTGGATCTATAATACAAGGTAACGGGGAGATAGATGAAGATGTCACACATCGTATCGGAGCAGGATGGATGAAGTTGAGGCTCGCTTCCGGTGTCTTGTGTGATAAGAATGTGCCGCTGAGACTTAAAGGTAAGTTCTACAAGGTTGTAGTTAGACCGACTATGTTGTATGGAGCAGAGTGTTGGCCGGTCAAGAACTCTCATACCCAGAAGCTAAAAGTAGTTGAGATGAGGATGTTGAGATGGATGTGTGGGCATACGGGATTGGATAAGATTAGGAATAAAGTTATTCGGAAAAATGTGGGAGTGACCCCTGTGGAGCATAAGATGCGGGAGGCGAGGTTGAGATGGTTCGGGCATGTTAAGAGGATAAGTATAGAAGCCCCAGTTAGAAGGTGCGAGCAGTTAGCCTCGGTGGGCAACAGGAGGGGTAGAGGTAGGCCTAAGAAGTCTTGGGGAGAGGTTATTAGGCGGGACATGGCGCAGCTGGAGCTGATTAAGGACATGGCCCTATACAGGAGGGTGTGGAGGTCAAAGATTAGGGTAGAAGGATCGTAGGTAGTCGAACGTTTCTCTTTGTCTTAATCACTTCGCTAGCATTAGTGTTAGTATGATATCTTTTATTCATAGATGGTTATTACTACCTAGAGTTTGAGCGTATTCTTGGATTCGATCTTATTTCATCTTGTTGTTATTCCTACTTGTTGCAATTACCCTTTCTTTTCCGTCATTCTCTAGCCGAGGGTCTATCGGAAACAGCCTTTCTTCTCTTCCAGGGGTAGGGGTAAGGCTGCGTACATTTTACCCTCCCCATACCCCACTTGTGGGAGACTACTGGGTATGTTGTTGTTGTTGTTCTTTTAATGGCACCAAAAGAAGATAGGAAAGACCCGGCTTGGGCTAATTCTATAAGAGTTAGCGAGACCAACAAGATGGCAGTTAGATGTCTTTTTTGTGACAAGATTTCGAATTAGGGAATCTATCGTTAAAATTTCATCTAATCAGTGATGATCCAAGCGTCGCATCTTGTCCTAAAGTTTCGGCGCATGTGAAGGAAGAAATGAAAGCATACCTTTAAAAGAAAAAGAGAGTTAAAGACTCAAATGCATCATGAACAAGAACAACTGCATAATCTTGATGATGACGATGATGAAATAGAATAAGGTGACGATGGTTCGTCGGTTCCATTAAAATCACAAAACAGGGGAAGGATAATGTCTTCAAGTTGTGGATCTAACGGTAAGACTAAAGGTCCTATGGATTGTTATTTCCCGCAAAATACGGGAGATATGAGAGGGAAAAGTGGTAATTGTCAAATTGATGCCAAAGCGATTTTGAGGGATTGTGCAGTTGCAATTTTTGCGCGGTGGATGTATGATGCAGGTCTTCCTTTTAATTGTGTTAATTATACTGACACATTTTCTGCTTTTATTGAGGTCGTAGGCCAATATGATCCAGGAATGAAACCTCCAACTTATCATGAAGTTAGAGGTCCATATCTAAAAGAAGAGGTGGAAGAGACAAACAAAATTGTGGAGGAGCACAAAGTAGAATGGAACAAGTTTGGTTGTTCCATTATGATGGATAAGTGGACGGCAAGAAATGGAAAATGATCATCAATATCTTGGTGAATTCTCCTAAGGGAAGCTTGTTTCTTGAGTCTGTCGATGCAAGCAACTCTTCTACTAATTCAACCAAAATGTACTCCTTGTTCAAGAGTACAATAGACTTTATTGGAGCAGAAAATGTTGTTCAAGTTGTCACGGACAACGCCAGTGAAAATGTTAAAGCTGGTGATTTGATGTCTGTAGCGTACCAGCATATTTATTGGACTCTGTGTGCTGCACATTGCACTAATTTGATCTTGTGACATTTTCAAGGGAAGGCCCTTTAGTTCAGTCTTTAACCAGGCAATTAGAGTGCATTCCTATATTGTTCAAAGGCCTTTGTTATTGAGTATGATGAAGAGATTCACTAAACAAAGAAGTTTGGTGAAACCTGCAAAGACAAGATTTGCTACCGCTTTCTTGACTTTGCATAGGAGGTATGAGCAAAAAAGCAATATGAAGAAGTTGTTTGTTTCAGATGATTTAGGGAAGCTCGAGGGAGAGAATCTGTAGATATTAAGCTTTCTTTCATTCTGGAATAATGTGGTTCATGCATTGAAGATTGGTGGTCCTTTAGTTAACGTGCTTCGTTTGGTGGATGGGGAGCAAAGACCACCAATGGGCTACCTTTACGAGGCAATGGATAGGGCAAAAGAGGTTATTCGAGACTCTTTTAGTGATCAAAGAAAATATAAAAGAGTTTTTGAGATCATAGATAAAAGGTGGAGCAGTCAAATTCATCGCCCTTTGCATGCAGTTGGACTTGTTTTGAACCCGGAACCGTTTTATGACAATGAAGAGAGGATTATAGGAGATGAAGAATTGTGGAATGGATACATTGAATGTATTGAGAAGTTGATACCTGAAAAATCTGTGTAAGATAAAATAACGGAGCAATTTAGTACTTATAGGAATGCTGAGCAACTTTTTGGAAAAAAACATGGTTATTAGACAAAGAAAGATGAAGTCATCAGGTGAACGAGTGCTTATATGTTGCTTTATATTAATAAGTTATTTCTTTATAAATATTATGTTTTGTATATTTGTTCTACTTCCACAGTTGAATGGTGGAAGCAATATGGCCATTTCACTCTAGAATTACAAAAGTTTGCCATCAAGGTTCTAACTCTAACGTGTAGCTCATCCGGGTGTGAAAGGAATTGGAGCGTGTTTGAACATGTAAGAACTAAGAAAAAAGATTTAGTATATTGAGATAATTAAATTATATTAATTAAATTATATCTCAATTGTCCTAATCTTACTAATTACTTATTACTTGCAGATTCATACCAAAAAGAGGAACAAACTAACCTTGAAGCGTCTCAATGATCTAGTCTCCATTAAGTACAATACAACATTGAGGCGTCGTTACAACGCTCACAATATAATTTATCCAATTAGTTTGGACAACATCGATGATGCTAATGAATGGCTAACTGGAGTCCCGGAAGATCATGCAGATGAAGAAGTATTTGAGGAAACTTCTGATCTCACTTGGGGTGATGTTGCAGAGGCGCGTGGAATTGGGGAGAGGATTTATGGTTTGAGGGGGAGTACCTCAACTTCAAGCTCATAGAGGAAGGGAAAAGAAGCAGCTACTTTGTCCCTAGTTGATGAAGAAGAAGAAGAAGAAGTTGAAGAAGATGACGAGCAATATAATAATGATACTGGAATATAAGAATTTGACAATCTTGTAGAAGAATAGGATGCTCATTTTGTGTTTTAATTGATGCTACTCTTTAGTTTTTAAATTGAAGTATTGAACATTTGCTTATAGTTACACGTGTTGTCAATGCAGTATTTATTTTTATTTTATTTTTTTTTAAATTCCGCTTCACTTCAAAAAAGCGAGCGCTTCGCTTCTTGCTTTAAGCGAAAAGGGGCTCGTCGCTTTTCCTCGCTTCACGCTCTTCACAACACTGCTCAATGATGAAAATTTTCTCATTATGAACTCAGCAGGGCTGCGGTTTTCACAAGAAATCCCTAGCCAACCTTCCTGCAAGAGATTCTTTCTTAAACAGAGCCTATTGAGACTCCTTGTCAAGTTCCCTTTGGTAGAACAGAGAGATCCATATACAAGAGACTAACAACAAAAAAAAAAGATGAAAATACAACACACTAGAAAGAAGCAACAACCTGCAGACATTCTCACAATGACCTATACATGCACTAAAGCACTTTCATGTACATTTCTACGTCCTTTATTTGCTTCAATTCAATTTATTTCTTTAAAAAAAGTTATTAACTTGAGTATTGGGAGTTGACCTCCCCCTCCACCCCCCACCCTTGAACTTTCTTGGAATTGTAACTTATAATCTTCTTTTTTCTTGTTTCCTTGCAAACGACTGGACCCGAAAGTTATAGGCTTACAAGAAACAGTTGTCTAGTAAAATCTTCAATTCGGAGAATATAACCTAGCCCTCATAGCTCCAACATAGCTGATATGTACATTATTACATACTCTATTACACCAGTTTATATTTAACCAAAATCCAAGTTTAACTATTTGACACTCTTCCTCAACTGAGTGTATACATCTTCTAGGTATCAAGCTTGCCACATATATAATTGATTCGTGAATAGACAAAGAACTTGGTGCATAATTTGCAAACTAATACTTTGACTTTACAAATTTAGTGCCAATATCTCCTGAATCTATATTTTCAAATTTAGTGCCAATATCTCCTGAATCTATATTTTCTGTTATTTCATGTACTTGGTTCTCATGAAACATTGGATCTGGTGCAATATAAATGGCAGCTTTATTATCACACAGAAGTTCTATATGGTAGTCTCTTCAAACTTTACTTCTTTGAGTAATTGTTTTGATCCTTATTTGTTTGTAAGTTGCCACCACCATCACCCGATTCTGCTTCTAGGCTAGATTTCACACTGTAACATGCAGTGAGAATCCAATAGAAAGTGAGCCTTCCTATTTGTATCTATATAACTAACAATCTAATCACGCCCTACATTCTTAAATATTGTATATCCAAATCCCAATGACACAAAAAGATATCAGAATGAGTACTTCTGGAAACCAACTTACACTACTCGCCCGGTAAGTAATATCAAATCAAGTTATTATGAGATGGTTCAACTTACAAATCAAACGTCTAGATCCCAGAGGGGCTCTCTCTAACATCCAAAAATATAGAAGTATAAATGAATCTTAAACCAGTCATCCACGTCTCCTCAAAGTTGTTGACAGCATACTTCTATTATGAAATGACAACAACCTGATATGGATTTGAACCTCAATGCGATGCCTAATAATTACTTATATCTACTAAGTTCTTGATCTAAAAGAACTAAAAGAGATGTTTCGACTTTAACATCAAAAAAAGATAAAAATAAAAGTAGAAAGAGAAGTTTGATTTTGCAACACCTTCCCGATCATTCAGTATGTCACAACTTGTCAACAGCAAAACCACCTTGTAAATGCAAATATCCAGAGCTAGCTTTGATAGAAGGCAAGATAATCAATTTCGGTGATAGTCATGCCAATCTGCTGAATGTGCTAAATTACCAAATTATACTCGAGGAGGCTTAAACCACATAGCGATCGAAGTAATTGGCAAACAAGATCTTTGACTCCCACTGAATAACAAAACCAAACGGTTGCTCCACATATGCTTCATCATGCATCATCATGAAGAGATAACTGATGAAACATGCCAAAACTGAAAAGCTAGAAGTAGCTAATAGCTCCCACACAAATAACTCCATTTGTCCACTTTCATTTGACCTAGTTGCTATATACATGGTAAGTGAAATTCTTTTTAACTGCTACCACTTTTAGTTAGAGTTTGACTTGAATTAGGTCCATCCCTGTACGCATACAGCTTTTTATCAAATTGCTTCGAAAAATTTAACTGTACCAATGTAACCTCGAAGCTGCAGAATGAAATAAAAAATGGAAAACGAAAACCAACAATGGAAAGGGCATTCAAATCACACCTTCCGTGCTGAGAAAGCTCCTTCATGGTGGGTACATGATCCTCGGGAAGTCCAACAGAAGATAAAAGCTCCCTGATGTCATTGCAGAGATCAATGTTGCTTTTCACCTTCCGGGTTGCCCTATACCCACCGTAAAAACAAGAAAAAGAACGTCAAGCACCCATCTCTGTACGAGCAAAAACGCAAGGTTTCAAGAAAACTACTCATGTTAGTGCAACCAAGATTTCTCATAGCTAATAAGTCAGTATCGAGAACCAAACTCTAGGCACAGTACAATTAAGAAATGTAACTAAAACTAAAGTACAGAGAATAATGGGTGATGAAAAAGAACCTGAATTTATTCTTGACGCACAATTCCAAGAAACACACTCACATTAACGATTTTCAAAAGCTAAAAAGTCAGTCTCAAGAACCAAACCACAAACATCACACAAACAAGGGAAGTACATAAAACCAAAATACAATTAAATGGGTGATGAAAACAGAAATGTAAGTTTCCATTGAAGCAAAAATAACCTAGATTTGAAGAAAAATCACTCACATTAGTGCACTCAAAGTCTATCACAGTTAAAAAGGTCAGTATCGAGAACCAAACTATAAGCATAGTATCAGTATCAAGAACCAAACTACAAACACAGTTTCAGAGCCAGTAACCAAACTACAGACATAGTATGTGTCAAGAACCACATGTTGTAATTTGGACTTACATTAATTGGTTATAGCGTGAAAGGATAGTGATGTAGTCTAAGTGATGGATTAAATAAAAGGCCTGATTAGTATTTTATTGTGTGTGTGGATAAGCAAGGCCCAATAGCTATTATTGGCCTATGATGGCTAGGCATTATCCACCCCCCTTTCCCTAGCTATCAGAAAACTTTTAGCTTATTTGTTCTTGAATACGTAGTATACCAGTTGACGTCCCATCAGTCGTGTTCTTCGGACTGAGAGCATTTCTTTTTTTTGGATAACCATGGTGTCCGGGCCAGCTTATGAGCACCTCGACTAACTCCAAAAAATACCTGCTACCTCCCACTAGCAACAGGTACCAAGCTTAACTGTCGTTTGCTATCGCAGCTGAATCAATGGAGTTGAATGGTATGTGTATCTAACCCTAACTCAAGATTGTGTTCATATGTCTATACATAATCAATCTTACACCACAAACATAGTGCACTCAAGAAACGTAGAAAAAACAAAAAATATAGCCAAAAGGATAATGAAAAAGAACCTGAATTTTTTTTATTGAAGCACAAACAAACAAGATTTTTGAAGCAAAAGCATCACATTAGTGCATTCAGAGACTCTCGGAGCTAAAATGTCAGTACCAAGAACCAAACTATAAACATAGTATCAGTATCAAGAACCAAACTACAACCATTTTACACTCAAGAAACGTAGAAAAAACCCAAGAAAAAAGCAAAAAGAGTAATGAAAAACGAACCTGGGTTTTTTAGTTGAAGCACAAATTGCTGGTTTTGAACGGTAAACAAGAAGGTAATGATGACGAGTGCAGCAGAGAGAAGTAGGGAGAGGAGAAAAGAAGACTAATTTGGGAAAGTGGAAGAGAGTAGTCATTATGGGTTTGGGAATTTTTGGGTTATGAAGCAAACTGAATAAGTAAGCTATTAGTAGTATAACAACTTTGTGAGAAGGAGACAATGTCTTTCTTGGATTGCTTTCCACATAATAATTCTGGGAATGCAGTTTCCTTTTCTTTCCACACAATTATGATTTGCCTATTTGCACGAAATGAATATGAAAAGGTGGTTGTCCTTTCTCTTTGGATTTAACACAATGGGAAAAACTTTTGTGCTATTAATTTGATTGGCTTTTTAAGCGGGCCAAATGAGCTATTAAGCTTTATAAAATTTTTTTAATATTTGGAAGAGTTAAAAAATACTTAAAATAAATTAAAAAATGGCTTAAAACAAGCCAAGAGTAATAAGTTGGGCAACTTCAACTTATTTTTTTTTTTGGCGTAAAAACTATTTCTGTTGAAAAGCCACTTTTTTTAAGTCAATCCAGACGGGCTCTAAATTGGTTTTTGCCCACTTTAACACATAGCTTATAAGCTTTCCTAATAGCTTGTTTCGATGGTTGTTACATGTTGTATTGTATCGTATTGTTACTTTAAATACAATATTTATTTTTATTGTTATTTAAATTTTATTGTATTGTATCGTATTGTTAAACTCATCGTTATGTAACAACAAAAAGTGTCACTTTATAGAACGGCCGATTTGGTTTGGTCGCGTCGTTACCTTATTTTTTTTCTTTTATTTTGTCCTTCCTTATTATTAGATAATCATATTTTATGTTCTACCCTACAATCTTGTATAACAATTTTATCTCGTATCTTACTTTTTTTTTTAATATTGCAAGTTTATTCTTCATATTATTGGTGCATGACATCATGAAACAGCGGTAAATAATACAATCTATCCAAATATCCGACTAATTGTTCGCATCGGATCTCAGGTTCTCTATTGCATTCTCTAAATAGAGTTCTTTTCACCTTTCCCTCACGGTACTTGTACGTTATTGGTCATTGAGGAATACTTAGGCTTATATACATCAAAATGATACATTACAATATAATACAATATTATACGATACATTATGAAACGATACATAACAACCATCCAAATAATTTGTGAGTTATTGTTTAAAATTTCATCTACTAAAAGTTAAGCTCATTTCTTGTTCGTATACCTAACGACTGAATTTGTACTTTGCCTTTTGTAGTATTTTTTTGTTGGTAATAAGGATACGATTATGTTAAAAGCTAAACAGTAACATTATTACAAAGAGGGACCAAATCGTGGCACAATAACATCCGAAAAGTCCTTATTGAAAGCATCGAAAGTAAAGGGTGGGGGAGACATAAAATGTATTGGACTCCACTACAATTAGCCTTCAGAAGGAGTTAGGAGCATGCCATATTTTGCTAGGGCGTGTGCTACACCATTTGCCTCCCGATAGATGTGGTCAAGTGTGGCTGTCTACAGCTGGTGGAGTAAAATCCTGCAATCAAAAATAAAATATGAGTATACATCACTCCCATTGCGTATCATGGAGATAAGTACCTGTGAATCGGTTTCGATCTTTAAAGGCAGGAAAAGTAGGTCAGTTGCAAGCTGGAGACCTAAGAGGAGGGCTCGGAGTTCAGATTCTAAAGTAGTAGAGCAAACAATTGGCATAGTGAAGCCTCGGATCCACTGTCCTTGGTGATTTCAGATAACTCCTCCAGCTAATGCTTGCAGCGTGTGAGGATTAAAGGAGCCATCAGTGTTAAGTTTACAAAAAGGAGCTTCAGGGGGTGCCATTTAATGTGTTAGACATGAGTAGAAGGGATTGTTGGTTTTATAGGAGATAAGGAGTGAAATTCGATAACATGGAAGAGGATGGTTGGTGGGTGAACGAGGTTGTGGAGGTTGTTGAAAAGATTCATTTCTGTTTTTTCAAATATGCCAGAGGATAAAAGGAACCATGAGTGATGTAGGAACACCAATACCATGATATGTGAAAGGTTCCTGTGGGGTGGCACAATAAAGCTTGAGCCAGGCCGAGAAATTTGTAGTTGGCGGTGTGATGTGGAAAAAAGACCATGCGTGGTGTGCAATCGGACATTAAAAAAATAGGTGGTGAGTGTTTTAGGGACGTGGGGACAAGAGTGGCAGTTAGGTGTGGTAAGCATATTAATGGAGACTAAGAAAGAGGCTGTGGGGAGGAGTTGTAGTAGGAGAAGCCAGAGGAAGGTTTTGAGCTTTGGTGGAATGTTGAGCTTCCAGATCCAGGGTAGGTCAGGGATAGATGGTTAATCGGGGAGGGGATATGTGTAGATAAAGCTTATATGCGGAAGCAGTGGAGAAGCCATATTGTGAAAACACCCAAGAGAGTATATCAAGTCGGTTAAGGGATGGGTGAAAATACGTATTATGTATGAGTCGCAGAACGTGTGGGGCAAATGGAATGAAATTAGAGAGGTATTCCACTGACCTTGTTGAATGAGGGAGTTAACTGTGATAGTAGATTATAACGAATTGAGGGGGCCTTGGAGAAGGCTTCGAAGGGGGCAGTTGTTAGATAGCCAAGTATCATTCCATACATTGATGAGTGATCCGTTGTCGATCTGCCATTTATCAGCTTGTGTGAAAGTGGAATAACTTTTTACTAAGGACTTCCATATGAATGAAGCATGCTTTTTGGTTGTAAGAGTGTTGGGGTGTTGTGGTTAGTGGTGATATTTGGCGCGAAGAACTTGCGCCCAAAGAGTATTGGGTTGCTGGCGAAAACGCCAAGCGAGACTGATAAGAAGGGCCATATTTTTGCCTTTAGTTTTTTGAAGACTCAATCCACCTTGTCGTTTGGGGAGGGTAACTTGATACCAGTTGACTACATGAAGACGTTTATTTTCTGCGGTGGTGCCCCAACGGAAGTTTCGTTGAATTTGATCAATGTGGTTGAGAATTTTTGTTGGTAGAAGATTATTTTACATGGCATAAGTGGGAATGGAGGCTAGAACAGATTGGATGAGTGTAGTACGACCCGCCAGGTTAAGAAACTTTATTTTTCATCCCTGTAATTGAGTGCGCATGCGATCAAGAAGACATTGGTAATCGCTACTCTTTGGTTGAAGGTTTGTGATGGGTAGTCCGAGATATTTACCAACAGTGAAGGATGTACGCATACAAAGAATAATAGAGATACGTTGGCGAGTATTTTGTGGGGTATTTGGTGAGAAGATAATTTTTGATTTAGCATAATTAATTTGTTGGCCAACGAGAATGCCAAAGCATTGGATGATGGAGTGAACGTTAGATGTGTTTTCAAAATCTGCTTTGGCGAAATGAATTAGGTCATCTGCAAATATGAGGTGGGAGATAGAGGGCCCATGTCGGGAGATCAGAATGGGGTCCCATTCCTTAGCGTCTGTGGCATGTAGAATAAGACGAGTAAGTGTTTTCATGCATATAATGAATATATATGGGGATATGGGGTCGCCATGTTGGATACCTCTGGTTGGTGAGAAGAAAGGTGTGGGTTTGCCGTTAACCATAATGGAGATGGAGGAGGCGGAAATGCAGTTCATAATGAGTGTGATTCGGGATTGAGGGAAGTTAAGGCTAGTGAGGGAGTAATGTATGAAGGACCATTCAAGTCGGTCAAATATTTTTTTTCTAGGTCAATTTTTATCAACATATGACCTACAGTTCCTTTGCGTTTGTTGAAAAAGTGCACTGCTTCTTGGACAATGATTGCATTGTCAATGGCTCGACGGCCTATGATGAAACTACTCTGGTATGGGCTAATTAATGAGTGGAGGTAGGGGCGAATGCGATTGACAATAATTTTCGTAATGGTTTTGTAAATGGTGGTGCAGAGGCTGACAGGACAGTATTGGATGATGCATTCCGGATTTTTGACCTTAGGAATTAAGGAAATATAAGTTTGATTAATTTTAGGTGGAAGAACCTTTTGTAGTATTTACAATCTCTCTTGTCACAATGCCTCGATTTTAATTTAGTCCACAATGTTCATTTTCGATTTTACTGTGTATTTACATCTTCCGCATTATTTTGTAGATGGTCATTTTACTTGCTAAAGTAATTTCTTGCATGAATAATTTAGTAGATAAGAAGAAGTAGAAGTCACATTTTGAATTTAGTTCTTTCATGGAAGAAAAAAGGTATGTAGCCTATTAGTGGCAGAGCCAAAAGTTTCACCAACGGGTGTCAAAATATAAAAAAATTAGATACATGGAAAAGTTTAGGGGAGTCAACATATAGTAAATATACATAAACAAAAAATTTATTTAGCAATACAATATAATTTTCCGGCGACGGGATGTCGAACACCCCTTGATTGAATGTGGCTCCGTCACTGTAGTCTGCCGTCTTATCATAATTGTTCACAGTTAAATAAGTAGTTTGAGCTAAGCTTTACCAATCTGGTAAAATTCTCTATTAAATGTACTCTAGTGATATGATCAATATAGCTAAAAGTTCTACCGTTTTGTCACAAGTGTTTGTATAAGGTACCATTGGAGAAACATAACAATGTGATAGAGTTTGTATTTACCCAACAAGATAGCTAATTTGAATAAAACATGAAAACCTACTATTTTGTCATAACTTGCCTACAATACATCTTATATTTTTTACTCTTTTGTTCGTAATTTTGAAATTATGATAACCTGGTAGATTTTGTGTGTTATGCAATATGATAGCTAGCTACGTTGAATACAACATGAAGTCTTCCCAAATTGCCATAACTAGTGCATGGCACAATTTATCGATTTTGATTACTCTTGCCGCTATCTCTGCCGCTCAACTATTGGACCATTCTGGTAATATTATCAATTATGGGGACAAATTTCAAGATCAACCTCAAATAATCTTTGAGAAAATGACACTGTATAGCCGCTCTTAAAATAATAGCCGTAAAAAAAAAATATATATATATATATATATATACACATTATGTATGTTATATATAAAAATTATACAAATTTTAAGGTGCATTAGGACACCAATAGAGATTCAATTCTAAGTTTGATTAACCAGAGATTGGGTAAGGGCTTGAAATTATCCCAAGGGGAAGGTGTTAGGCACCCCTCAGGATCCACTAGTGTGGTTCCCGGCCAGACAGTCATTGTGAATTTGGGTGCAATTAACATATAAATAAATAAGGCTCAGACAAGAGGGGATTTCAAATAACAAATGTTTGAAAGGGAACAAAGTATGAAAGAGCAATAAAAGCTGATTT